AGCCCCTAAAATATACTGTCATTTTTGCTCAGTTATTCAATTGATTTAAAAGCATTTTAGCTATGAAATTTTCCCTTTCAATTCGCACAAAAAACCCTCTTTAGGTTTTCATCTGGAAAACATCTCTACACAATATTCTCTGATATAGATACTTAAGATATACAGAGCATACATTATGTCCACGGACTAATTTCTTTGACCTCATTTTTGAAAATGAACTGGAATAATTGTTTCTAGGAAACCCTAAACCAAGATCACAATCATATAATTGAAAAATAAAAGGAAAAACTTTTACTTTCAGAAATATGAATAAATTAATGATATAAATATATATATACGGAAAAGAAGGGACTCGGAAACAGATATTATTAAAACAGTATGCCAAAAAATAAACTGTATTGCTTCTCGAAGTGACAAAATAAGTAGAAACCTAAAGTAAAATTATTAAAAAAGAAAGTGCAGATTTTTCAAAAGGTTCCTATTTAAGCTGATCCCAATGCATAAAACTGTTTATCATTGGTTTTCGTTAGTTTGTTTTTTATCTAAATTGTGGTAAGCAGATGTTTGTTTGTGTGTTTTAGTGTTCGGACACAATTAGATAAGGTCTATACGACCTGATAAACTGATGATGCCTTTACTGGTGAAACTATGGTCGTGAACAAATGATGTATTTGTGAAACGTACAATTGTCTTGTTTTTTCTCCATTCTGTAATTACGGAGTTTCACCAAGTACCGACGGTTTCAAGTATCAATTATGTAAGAAAACATTATCGCTCAATAAAGCTATGTAGAGCTGGTTACTGAACTTGAAAATAGGAACCAAACAAGATAGGGATGAAAGTGGGCATATTACTGGATCGGCTAATGAGCATATAGCAGACTAAGCCGTCTCGACTTTACATGGAGATTAAATTTTCTACATTACTGTCTTACTCATTTTGTCTATCGAAAGCTTGGTGTTTGAATAAAATTTCAGCTTTCATCATTATACCTTTATTTTAGTTAATTTTAGAATACTCCTTTTATGACTCTTTTAAAATAGAGTAACATTTTACGATTGGAAATTCTGGTTCTATTTGTTTTGCCAGTGAGAAAGCCAGTAATATAGGGATTTTATTATCCGTGTGAAGTCGAGATGGCTTAGTCTGCTATGTGATCATTAGCTCTATAAAGTGTTATGTCCATTTCCATCCCTATCTTGTTTGGTTCCTTTTTTCAAGTTCAGTAGCCAGTCCTACATAGATGTTTTATTTAGCGATAATTTCTTTTTCCTTATACTTGTTAGTTTACTTTTTTATAAGATGGCGTATGTAGGTTACTAGGCTATATAGACTGTATTCTAGTATCTAAAGCTTTATAAATTTTGCATTGAATAATAATCAATTATAGTTACTGCTAGAACTAGGTAGGCGCTATGCCTGTTGAAGAAAGATGATGAAGAACGTTCGTGCCATCCCTACATAAAGAGTGCTAGGGCACTCTCCGATATCTAGAAATCTACTGATGAGTGAAGTTTCCTCAACAATTGCGAGGAAACTATGACCTTGAGAATTATTCAAGAAGACACACAAACATATATATATATATATATGTTAGTGAAAGTGAAAATTAAGTTAAACATAGAAACGAATAGTGAATGACGTATAAAGTCAAGAACCCCAGTTTTGCGCTTTGTATTTATCTTTTTTGAGTTGAGTTTTGATGGTGTTGATATTTTTCAACCATTTTTGCGCCCAAGCCGATTAGTGAGGCTTTTTTTTTTTCAAACGAACCTGTAACGCAATTTTCAAGGAGAAATTGACATATATATATACACCTGGAAAAAAGTTAAGCACCCCCGTGTTTTTTTCAAGTGATTCAGATTCGACGTTCTTGTG